ATATGGGCTTAAAGTCGATCCCTAATGTAAACCAACAGAAATAGTAAAATATTTTGTCAATCCTCCTTCAGTTTGAACACAAGTAACAGCTCTAGTATACATATCTTTAATGACTTGAATATAAGTCATATCAACACATTTCTTCTCGAGAACTCTCCAAAGGATATCTCTTGGAACCTTATCGTAAGCTTTTTCTAAATCAATAAAAATCAAATGTAGATTCTCCTTATTATCTCTGAACTTCTCCATCAAACCTCTCAATAAATGTATATCTTTCATAGTAGACCTGCCCGACGTAAATCCAAATTGATTATGAGAAACTTTTGTGATGCATCTTAACCTATGTTCAATTACCCTCTCCCATAATTTTAAAGTATGACACATCAACTTAATTCCTCTATAGTTTGCACACTCTTGTGCATCCCCTTTATTCTTACAAATGGGGTTCAAAATACTCTTCCTCCACTCCTCAGGCATCTTTTTAGTTTTTAAAATAATATTAAAGAGTTTAGTAAGCCAAGAAACTCCCAAATCTCCCAAATATTTCCACACTTCAATTGGGATATCATCAGGTCCTACAGACTTTCCACCCTTGGTTTTCTTTAAAGCCTCCTCAACTTCTTTTTTGCTAATGCGACGGTAAAAATGAAACGTTTTATTATTATTTACGATATTAAAATCACTAAGTTCGATCGTATTTTCAGAAACTTCATTAAAAAGTTTATCAAAGTAACTCACCCACCTATGTTGAATATCTTTTTCTAAGAAAAGTACTTTTTGATTTTCATCTTTAATACACTTTACTTGAGTTAAATCTTTACTTTTCTTTTCTCTTTGTTTGGCTAGTTTATACATATATTTTTCACCCTCCTTAGTATCTAATCTATTATAAAGATCATTAAAAGCAGAATTTTTAGCATCACAGATTGTTCTTTTAGACTCCCTGCGAGCCGTTTGATATTTTCTCCAGTTCTCTAAGCTTTTACATTTAAACCAATTTTTATAACATAACTTCTTATATTTTAGACTCTACTATCTTGAACTATGTACGCAATTATTTCATCGGTACAATTTTCGTTTTACAAATTTGAAATTTAACTAATGCCTTGCAGATGGACAACATTTTCCTTCTACCGATGTGTCGTTAAGCAAACAACCTGGTTCTTTGGATAGAAACAAGGATCTAGAGATGGAAGAGTGTTTGGTCCGCAAAAATTTCATTATTACTGAGATTACAATGGTGGACGTGGATGATAAATTTTGTAGAAGACCATCTACCTGTGAATTGGATCATGCATCAACAGATGGAGAAGCATCAAAACAATCTTTAGCCACAGCATTAGATTCCTCACAAGGCCACCACAACATCAAAGAGTGTTTTCGTTCAGTTTCTGCAAATTTAGAAGATGCCTGTAATAAATGTTCTATTGCTCAAGCACACCATAATGAATGTGGTGAAACTGAGGATTCAATGAATAATTTGAGTTTGTCAGGTCAGGATTGTGAAACTGCTGAATTTTCTCGTGAAGCTACAGGTTTTAAAGCGAGGGAAAAATGTCAGAATTTTGAGGAAGTTAGAGATGTCGAGGAGGGAGAGAAAATAAAGAAACTATTTGAGGATCATGAGACCCATAAAGAGAAGGAAAGTGGAAGCGAACGCCAAGGTAAAATATTTCCTGCAATTTATTTTTAGGAAGATTTACATACTGAAGAAAAAAATTGGTACAAGGTATTTTCCTTTATTCATGAGTTGGGCTTTTATAGACCCTTATAATCCTTTTACAAATAACCTCTAGACCTCTTCTATATTTTTTATTTACAATTAGACCCCTCAAAATAAGATATAAATCTCAACACTCCCGCTCAAGGTGAGCAAAAGATATCCACTATGCCCATCTTGTCACATAATCTAGACAAATTTAATGAACTAAGTCCTTTAGTGAGGTAGTCAGCTACTTGTTCTTTAGTGGCTACATGACTTAGCTCCAGTAGCTCGTTGCTCAGCTTTTCCTTGATTAGGAATCTATCAATCTCCACATGTTTGGTTTTGTTGTGTTGAACCGGGTCAATGCTGATTGTTGACCTGTTGTCATGTCACAACTTCATTTGAGTTCTTTGATCCACCTTGACCTTGACCAACAAGGCTCTCAGCCACATCATCTTAGCAACACCTAAGGCATGGCCATATACACTGTTCTGTTGTTGACCTCGCTACCACAGATTGTTTCTTGCTCTTCCAAGAGACCAAGTTGCCACCTACAAACATTTTGTATCTTGAGGTGAATCTTTTGTCGTCTGTACAACTCGCGGAGTGAACATCACAATAGCCCATAATTTCTACGTGTTTGTTCTTCTTGAAGATCAGTCTTTTTCCTGGTGCACTCTTCTGATATCTCAGAATCTGATACACTGCATCCACATGACCCTTTCTTGGATCATGCATATAGCAGTTCACCACGCTCTTAACAAATGAGATGTCGGGACGCATGTGACTCAGATAGATCAGACGACCCACCAATCTCTGATATCTCTCATGATCAACAAGCTCTCCTGCCTTTGCAGTCAGCTTGGTCTTCTGATCAATTGGAGAGACGGAAGGCTTGCATCCCAGCTTGCCTATTCTTGTGAGTAGATCTAATACATACTTCTCTGAGATAAGACCATCCCCTCTAATTCACGAGCCACCTCAATCCCAACGAAGTATCTCATCATTACTAGTGATAATCATATTATCAACACAAATAACAGGTATTGTGATGTGACCACTATTTTGACGAAAGAACACCGAATGATTAACATTGATATTATCAACACAAATAACAGGTATTGTGATGTGACCACTATTTTGACGAAAGAACACCGAATGATCAACATTGATCAGCTGATATCTCATCCCTATTATAGTTTTTCTAAACATGTCAAAACAAGCTCAAGGAGATTACTTCAAGCCATAAAGCGATATTCTAAGCCTGCACACCTTGCTCGCTGTCTGATTTGTATTGAATCCTGCTAATATGTCCATATACACCACATCTAGTAACTAACTATGAAAGAATCAGACAACGAGCAACTTTCAAGTTGTCAAAACGCTCCAAAAACCTTCAATGTTACTGGACATAATACCTTCAATCTAACGACAAGATTCATAGTCAGTTACTGGAGGTGGTGTATGGATGGACAATCTAACTCGCTATAAATCCTTCAATGTTACTTTCAATCTAACAGCAGGATTCCATATACACCACCTCCAGTTCACCACGCTCCAAAATCCTTCAATGGGAGGATTCCGCTATTATCTCCTTTCTACATTTGACAAGGAGACTTTCAATCTAACACTTCGATGACATTCTATTGATCAATTAAATTGTTGTCAAAACTGCTTCCCCCACAAATGCTTTGAGACATTCATCGTGATCATCATGCTTCGAGCTACCTCTAGAAGGTGTCTATTCTTCTTCTTAGCTACTCCGTTTTGTGCCGGTATTTATGAATATGTGGTTTGATACTTTCCTCAAAAGTCTTGTTGGTATACTCTTTCCCATTATCAGACCTCAATGCCTTCACTACTGCACTGTATTGAGTCTGAATCACCTTATGAAAGCTTTTAAAGTAGGTAAACAAATAAATTTTCAACAGATATAACCCAGTAACACAAGAAAATAATTAATGGAAGATACAAAATATCTGTAAACATCCATAAAAGTTATTGAACAAGGTCCCCATACATTTGAATGCACCAAATCAAAAGCGTAAGAATTTTTACCATAATTAACATAAAAGCTCCTGATATACTTACCAAACTCACAAGCATCACACACAAGTTTCTGTTAATTTGTTTTTTCATACTGGGATTTATACAAACAATTCAATAGAAAACTAAAATAAGAGCGTCTTATGCGCCTATAATTTAGTAACAAAACATCCTCTACACTTCTCTGAAATCCTCTTGCTCCAGCATTCTCAACAATGGATGCCAAGGCTGAGTCCATGTCCCACGTCTCCGGCCAGTCCTCTTCTCTTGAAAGATCACATTTGGAATATCAAATGAAACAACACATTTTAATTCGATTATAATGACGCTAATGAATAAAAAGTTCACTGGAAAAGAAGGAGCATGCAAAATATTAGATAAAGTCATAAAATTAGTACACATCGCTGTACTCTTACTAACCATAGGCTGTGTTGTACCATCGACAGTTTGAGTGTTCTCTGAAACTGCTAAGTGAGTATAGGAAGAGAACTCGCTAACAACACTTGTCACATGTTGATATGCACTAGTGTCTATTATTTATTCTGGTGATCTTGTGGTGGATATAGAGGCAAGTGCATGTGTATCATGAGTAACTTTGGCTATGTGAGCATAACTAGCAGTGTTCCTCTTGGATGATGATAAAGTGGATACATTCTTAGTCACATTACATGCCGCTTTCACTGTCTTATCTTCAACATATTTAGTAACTCGTGATCCTCATCGGTAAAAGCTACCCATGTTTTTCTCTCGTTCTTTTCTACCATCAGATTTGTTTGGTAGCCCCCCTCTTCCACCCCTAGGGCCACACAATTATGACGAAGGCCTCTTGATTTTCCACGTCCATTTGTCTCTCTCTCTTTAGGTGGTTTTGGACAAGTCATGCTCAAGTGTCCTACTTCTCCACAGTTGAAGCGCCTGCGGGTCTCCTCTTAGGCGCCTATCATACTTGAGCTTGATGCAGCCAAAGCTTATCGCGTACCTAGAAGTCCACTTTGCTCAGAGTTTAGCCTCATGCAACTCTCCTACTATAGCATCAATTTAATCTTTTTACAAATAACACTTAGGCCTTTTCTATTTTTCCTATTTACAATGAAACCTCCCAAAATAAGATACAAATCTCAACATATACATACCACTCAATTCTTATGTATTTACATATCTAACAACTAAAATTTAATTTTTACATGCATGCCTCTATAATTGTGCATTAAAAGTTGTAACAATACTCGCAGAAAATGTGTTCCAATATAGCAAAAAAAAGTGGACGGTAAAGGTGCAATAACGCTTGAGGGAAGAGCATATACAAATAACATGAGAAACTGCATTCTAGTAGAAATAAATTGTCTATAAGTTTTTAGCCAATTTATCCCCGCTATAACACTCCGAAAGTTTATTCGAGTTGTTATCTAGATCTAACTTTGAAGATTTTATTTGGGATGTTGCATTTGTGTTGATTTCTTAGGGGAAAAAAATCGCATCTGAAGCCAAGGAAAATAGACTAGTGAAAGACTTGTTTATGGTTAAGTAAATCAAACTAAAGAAATGATACCTCATGAATATTCTTTTGAGATTGTATTATACATAACATATGATTTGCTGTTGCATTTTATTTTGAATATATTCTTGATGTTGTTTAATCTCAATATGCATCTACATTCGTACTTGTTCATGATCTAGAATCTGCACATGATAACAAACTGTATTTAGGGTTTGAAAGCAAAATTAATAATGTGATCACAACTAAACTTGAAACCATTGTAGTAATCAAATCTATTTTAATTTTGTGGAGCTAAAAAAATCTCACTTTGACCCGCAGCCTAGGGGGCTTTTCAGCCTGCCTTTGGGTGCTTAAGCGTGTCGATCGTTTTAACCTTGTAATTTGAAAACATGATGATTTTGTGATTTTAAAAACAATTTAAATATGAATATAACTTTTTTTTTTTATTTTTAAAAGTAATATTTTAATTTTAAAATAGGTGAGACCAAACGGGTCTCACATTTTAAATAGTTTAGATGATTGAATACAATATTATAAATAATACACTTATCCCGAAGAGAATAAATATATCACATAAATATATCACTTGTAATGGGGATTCAATTACCTAGACTAAAGAATTTGTGACATCCGTCTTGGTCTGCGAAATATTTTATAAAAAAGTCCAACAAGTTTCTCTACCTAACATAAAAAAAATTAGATAGAGTTTATTTTATCTGGGTTTCAGGTTCCCTATAGAGGCAAACCCCTATAGTTAATTACATCTTAAATGACCGATGTCACCTAAGGAAACTCTCGATTAAGATCAGTGGTTTTACTTTTTAGATTTTAAAGTTTAGGTTTCCAAGATTGGACATAGGAAAATCAAGTGGGAGTAGCTTAAAATAGGAACAATTGTTTTATAGAATCCAAAAGGAATGAATAATAGGAGACATCAAAAATCCAGGAGAAACCCCGGGGATGTCCCAACTATCATAATGTTCGGTTTTATGTCTTTGAAATGATGTTTATTTGATATTTCAATCCTGCACTTATGTTTACACAATATCGGAATGTGCAAATAGCCTAAAAGATAGAAGGATTTACACCGTACCGCACGGTAACCTCAGAATTCTAAAGTGTTAGGACTTGTAATGGCACAACAGAGTTGTGCAAAAGCCTAAATTCTGTATATTCATCCAGGGGCATTATATTGTTATTTAAACTAAATGAAGTGATAGGCGATGTGAAGATGTTTATGTGATGTTTTGCTATTGCAGGTTCACCTTGAAGTTGTTCCTCTTCGCGCTGCCTTCGCTCCAAGCTCCTCAATTCGCTCCAAGCTCCTCATAGTAGCACCTCCTGGTTTAGTGTTAATCCTATACAACCACTACGTTTTCCTAAACTAAGGCATAGTGTGTATCAAAATAACTAAA